ATCTTGGAAAACATTTTTGAAAAATTATCTCGAAGGTCAATGAACTTTGTGACGTCATTGGATGGGAGCACCAAAACTACCAGAGAGAATTCTATTGCGTGCGTGTTATGTTAGCTAAAAAGTAAAATTATGTCGTTTTGAGCGTTATGCTGGCCAAGACTTTTCGCAATCAAACAAGAGAAGTCTACACTATCAGATCAAAACATATCGAGCGACTGGGAAAGCAAGGAATGGCGCAATTTACAATACAGGTAATTGATCATAAAATATTGAATTAGTATTTGCCTTGTTGCACTCGAATTTCTGCGTTTATTTGACACGGAGTAGGATATATACCATCAGAAACAGAGTTACAAACTAGTCACATACTTGGTAAAACTTTTCTGCCTTTTGTTTTGGCTCAAAGTGCATTATGCGTGGTAATACTCGGTATTGTTTATAGTCATGAAGACGCAGACGTTTTCCGCGGTATTTATAAATACATGAAGTAGAATACACAAGCATGTTTTCGCGCATGCGCAGACAATTTTCCAACCTGTTTCATTCGGCCTATGAGAAAAGCTATAGTGAAGCCAAGATGGCCGAAATTGATGTTCAATCGCTATGAAGGTCGTGGACATATTTTTTAATACCATTTTCGCCCAGCTAATTCCAGTTTTTTGTAACGAACGTACATTGAACATTGAACATTGAACATTTATTTAAACACGGTAAAATCTTCAGTGTAGAATAAAATACAAAAACTATTAATAAATTTCACACATCACTATATACACACTAATTTCCTAACTAAAATGCACTGTTTTCCAAGATTGCCGTGTGGGGATCCCATTATAATGTCAAGAATTGATTAATTTCATTTTTGAAATGCCTCAATGATTTGGACGTACGTGCAGTTTGAGGAAGCGCATTCCATAAACTTGCTCCACTGTAGCAGAAACTACGCTTCATAAAGTCCGTACGTGGTTTTGGTAAATTTAGCTTCATTTCTGCATTTCTTAAGTTATAATCTGTGCTGCAAAATGTAAACATGTTTTGTAAATACTCTGGCGATAGCTTATTGATAGTTTTAAACATTAATATAGACTTGTGCTTTTTCCTACGTAAGGAAAGATTGTCCCAATGCAGTTTCTCTAAGAGAATGCTAGAGCTGACATCGTAGTTGGATTTCGTAATCACTCTAGCAGCTCTATTCTGCAATTTTTGCATTTTTTCACATAATGTTGCGCCAAATTCGTCCCAAATGGGACTACAGTAATCAAAGTGAGGTTGAATTATAGCGTTGTAAATTTGGATTGCTGTTTCAGTTGATATAAATGGTTTTATTCGCTTAAGAGCACCTATAGCGGAAGAAATCTTTTTACACTTCATATCAATGTGTTTAGACCAAGACAGATTTTTATCAATAATTACACCTAGTGATTTTGCCTCATCAACTTGTTTAATCACATGACCATCCAGGTCAATATTGATATTTTCGTTAGTGTGCGCATGCATACGTTGTCGAGATCCTATTATCATAAATTCTGTCTTGGCGATATTAAGGCTTAATTTGTTCGCTTCCAACCAGCTTTTCAATTTTTTAATTCCGAATTAATAACATTTTCTAGTTCGGCGATAGTGTTGGCCGCATAACTAATGTTCGTATCATCAGCAAACATTCTCGGTACTGCTGCACTGAGACAATTAGGAAGGTCGTTAATATACACAAGGAAGAGTAATGGTCCTAAGTTACTTCCCTGTGGTACACCACGTGTAACTGATGCAGATGATGACAAGCAACCTCTAACATTACATTTCTGAGATCGACCGGTCAAATAAGACTGAAACCATTCGAGACTTAATTGATCCATACCGTAAATTCGAAGCTTCCGCAGCAATATCTGATGATCAATTCATCAATAGTATCGAATGCTTTTTTAAGGTCGATAAATATTACTCCATTGAAGAGGCCATTGTCAATATTAACTGACCAGTTACTAGTGGCTTCAAGAAGAGCAGTAAGTGTACTATGTAACGACCTGAAACCGGACTGGCAATGCGTTAACAAGCTGTTAGAACTGAAGTAATTATAAAGTTGCTCAAAGATTAATTTTTCGAAGATTTTGGCTACAGCTGAAATAACTGATATTGGTCGATAGTTATTCGGATCATTCCTTTTTCCTTTCTTAAATATTGGTGTTACTCTAGCCATTTTCCACTCGGATGGAAATATGCCAGTGTTAATTGATCTGGCAAATATATCAGTTAATGATGGTGAGATTATTGCTGCTGCTATTTTTAACAGCTTATTAGGAATGTTGTCGAGACCTGGAGCTTTTCGTTCGTTAATTTTACTCAACAGAATATAAACCATATCAACCGTAGGAGGTCTAATGGAAAATCTCTGCTCAGTTGATTCTAAATAGTCTTCAGGGTTGACGTTAGAAATGGGTATCTCTGAGGCTAGATTCTCACCAACATTTGAGAAGTGATTGTTAAAAGCTTCAGCTATATTTGCAGGTGTATTTATTGTTTTTCCGTCTACTTTAATCTCGTTAATGTTACTTGACTTATTACAATTACGCGAGCTTAGTTCGTTAATTAATTTCCATGTTTTTCTTGGATTTGTTTTAGCAGTTTCCAAATTCGTTATAAAATACTCTTGCTTTGCTTTTCTAATTTCGTTATTGGTACGATTTCAAGCAACCCTATATTCTTCCCATAAAGTTTGACTTCCCATAAAGTTATCAGTTCATAAAATCATGGTGTTATTCTTTCAGTAAACCGATGTCAAAATACGAAATTTCGGCACACTCCTTATCAGCCTTGTGTTAACCGTGCAGACAAAAAGAATAATAAAAATGGAAAGGGAATGGAACTGACGTTCAATAGCTCTTCAATTTACATCTTGCCTTCAATTTTTGGACTCGAGTTCTCGCTCCAGATATATGTGGAGCTCACTGATTTAGATGTTCTAAGCCCACGCAGCAACAGAGCACTACTCACAGCAGAGAAACTAAAGGGCCTGGGAGTATGCTTCCACGCAAAAATTTGAAAAATTGGGGTGGTGGACGTTTTATAATAATAATAATAATTAGTATAAATTTTGCATATCAAATGAACTCTCGCGCGTTCTGATTGGCTAGTTGACTAGTAAATCTGAGGCATTATTCACCTTCTGGTTAGTAAATAATGCTTTTCAAAAAGAATGATTCGGCAAATTCGTTTTCAAAATCAACAAAATATTGAAAAAATCGTCCCCAGAACATGAAAGAAGCCCAAAATGTTGTATTTAACTTGAAAGGTAGGATTCCTTTATTATTTTACTGTATCAAACATATTCACGGACAATTTAAAACTTATTTAAAATTCCGAAACATTCACTTCAAACAAATAGCAAAGACCATCCCGAGTGTTGGGAAAAACCTTGCCGTGATATTCTTTAAAATCCATTTTATTTTGTATGCTATAGATTTGCCAATTTGTACGATACTATTTCTTTTGATATGTCATGTTTTCATTGTGCTGTGTGGTGTTCTGACCGCTGTATTGTATTTTCAAAACTTGTAAAGTAAAAAGTGTTATTAAAACTTTATTTCGAACGATATAGTTTTACATTTCATTTTACCAAATTCCTCAGCCATTTCCTGAAGCTAGAAATTAATGCTAAACAAAAACTATTTTTAATTCTAAGTCTGGTGAAAGAGTCATTCCATTATTGTGTTTATATTCCAAGCCGAAATCGAGAAAAACAACTTTGTAATAAAGCAATAAAGTCACACAAGCAGCCATTTTGAAAGCGCGTGCGTACAAGAAACACTGCAACATTATTAGTGAACAGGCCCGAAAACAGTCTTATTTCTGAAATTTAATTAGTCGGTGGGGCCACATGTGGTGCCCACCGACTCTAGGTTTCGGCACGCATTTTTTTTCGCGGATCGCAGATCTCCATTGTACACAAATTTCCATTATGACACGTCACGATTTTAAGGAAATTTGAGTATATTGAAGTGGAAACATGTGAGACAACGACATTGAATTATAGAACTACATTTAGTTGGAAAATTGAGGAAAATTGAGTATATTTAAGTGGGAACATTTGCGACAAGGACTCAAGATTCTCTGCTCAAGGAGTGAAAGCACAAAATATCGTGAATGTTTTTGTATAGTTTTCAAGGATTCAAGATTGAAGCCTGATAGATGTTTCACAGGGTAAGTACTGAATGTATTTTATCTTCAGATACTCTCATCTCGCATGAATGTGCACATATTCGTGATAGACCTATGATTCATGAATACAAACATACCTTCGGGTACAAAAAATGCAAATATACCTTCGGCTACATACATGCATTATTCGTGGAAAGGCCTACACTAAAATATGTTGAGCGTTTTCGAACCAGGTAGAAAGCAGGCTTTATAGTGAATAGATTTTTGCGCGTTTGCCGTTTGATCCAAATATGGGCTAGCTTGTTAAGTTAGTTTTGTACATAATTTCATATATTTGTATCGCGCGGCGGAGACATCGGGCGCGCAAATGTTGATGCTTTCTATATATTTACTATTGAATTTTCGAAATCTCCGGAGCGCAATTTCCAAACTTTGCAGTCAGTAATAATATTTTGGTCTTTTGGATCTACATAAATTAAACTTAAAGTCAGACATCGCCTGCTTCTTTTGAGTCCTATTCCTATTAAATAGCATTGAAGGATTAAGGTTCATTGGGACAAAATGTATTACCAAAAGCTGAAAACGAGGAACTCAATTTCCTGATATCGTGTGGAAGTAACATAGAATCTTTCTTGGCCCAATAACATATATTATTATTCCATGCAGATTGCCGCCTCTTATTGCCTCTATACTGCACAGGCGCACTGGTATGTAGATTAGTAGATATGACTAAATCGTTATTGCTATACATAATACAGTCGCTTGGTAATCTCCTCTCACGAGGCATTATTGTATTACACAGACGTTATAATGTGTTTAGTTTCGAAGGGAAGAATATTCTTGCCTTCCAGCCTTCGACGCACCAGTTGGTAACATTACACCAGCCGATCTGTGTAATGACAACAGGATAAACGCTTATAATTTTAACACATACGATAGATACTGTATACTATATGACTATTAAAACAACATTGCTACATGGTTGTACTTGTTTTAACTATTAGTGCTAACTGCCAGGCAAACTGCAAACTTCAAGATTCAATGTTTTCGGAAAAACAAACACGCTGTTCTTAAGTGGTATCACTTGTGCTTATTTCCATCGCCCCACCGACTTTACGCTCGGTGGAGCGTCTTGTTGAACTGATATTCGGATATTTTTTTATTCATTAAAAATTTATACTAAAACAATTATTCGCCTCAGGCTCAGTGATTACGGTAAATATTTACCTCGACTTCGTCTCGGTGAATATTCACCGGTAATCACTTCGCCTTCGGCGAATAATTGTTAATTATTATTATTATTATTATTATTATTATTATTATTATTATTATTATTATTATTATTATTATTATTATTATTATTATTATTATTATTATTATTATTATTATTATAAAACGTCCACCGCCTCAATAATTGTTAATTATTATTATTAATTTATACTGCGCAAGCATAAACTGGAGTATTTTCAACTACGCATTACAATCAATAGATTACATTACTGCCACTGATAAGTTAAAACTCTATTTTGCAATGCATATAATTATCTAAAACTGTATGATTAAAACATATTTTAAAATGCGTTTTTAAAGAGACAGACGTCATACGCGAAAATTGGTATACTAATATTGCTCATGTAAGGAATACCAAAAAACTGACACAAACACAGTTTTTAATCCAGTCCCCCTCGGCAATCTAACGTCGGTGTGTTCCTTAATTAAGCCCCCTATCGGCATTGCAGTGCCGTAGCGAAGTTAGGCCTGCTAAGCATCGCTATATATAGCGATGATAAACCGGGATACTTTTTCACATGGAGACGTGCAGACATTTTTGGGTAAATATCACGATTTTTGTTGCATCTCACTGGAATGAATATATAATATTTGATGGGTATTGTAGATGGAAGTTGTCGAGTGGAAATTTATATACATTTATTAGACCTAACCAGGAACAGAAGCGAAAAAATGCAACTTTAGGTCCCTGGGGGGATTGAACCGGCGGCTCTGCGATTCCGCGATGCTTCCATCGATACTTTATGTATAGGTTATTTTGAGGCAACGAGGGGATATGTGATTTATTCACCGAGGCGCGCAGCGCCGAGGTGAATAAACACATATCCCCGAGGTGCCTCAAAATAACGTACTTATTTTTCACACTGCGAGGTCGCGTTAATGAGTCAGAAAAGAAATAATTCTCAATGCCATATCGCCTTCGCGATGTTGTTTTTTTCTCATTTTTTGTGCTGCAAAGACATTGCAGGTGAATATTAGAGGGGATTATTAATTGCAGGTGAATATTAGAGGGGATTATTAAACGGAAATTGATTAGAGGGGAATATTGAATATATTTGAAAAATAAGGATAATTAATTCCAGAGCTGTCTTCAGGGAGAAGGAACTTGACGTTTTACTGGTATTCTGGTAATAATGGATCCTTTTTTTTAATCAATTTGAACTAAATGTTATTTGTACATACGAAACATTGATAAACAAATTGATATTTTTCACATTTAATATTGTTGTTTTACACATCAGTGTACAGAACATGTAATAAAGTGTTTTAAAGTGTTAGCAGGGCCATTCAACACTAGTACTATATATACTTCGCCGTACTAACAAGGGCGTAGTAAATTTTTTCGAAACTTTTTAGACGGTTCGGTATCCACGCAGAATCCTTGATAGAAGAATATTACGCTGTATGAACAAATCCGCTTGCATGCATGGATTGTGACTAAAACACCACACGAGTACATACGAGTAACATACGAGTAACACACAGGTACATACGAGTACATACGAGTGACACACGAGTACATACGAGTAACATACGAGTACATACGAGTAACATACGAGTACATACGAGTAACACACGAGTACATACGAGTAAAACACAAGTACATACGAGTACATACGAGTAGAATACGAGTAAAATACGACTAGTAAACTTGTTTTTAGTGTTTGTAGATTGAATACAGGCAAAAAGATCGTCTTCTCTGTCGAAAAACGTGAAATAGACTGAAACCGGCTATCTTTAAAACCCGGAATG